TCTTTCTGTTTAGTTTGTTAAGGCAATAAAATGTGTTGTAATTTGTACGTAATTGCTTGTACAGTGTAACCCGGATATAAGAGTGTTGTCGGGACTGGTGAAGAAGTCTCTTATATCCGGGTTTCTCTTATATCCGGGTTTGGTCTATATGTATACATTAACACAGGCTCTAATTTGGGACCAGAGAAAATCTCTCTTATATCCGGGTTTCTCTTATATCCGGGTTTCTCTTATATCCGGGTTACACTGTATATTTATTTTTACTCTCTTGTTCCAGGAAACTTCAACGCCTCCATTATGCTATCATATCACCTGAATATTCTTCAGTTTGAACAGTTTCCTTACCATTTGTATTAAGTAACCAATCCTTCGAAATATTTCACACATTAGAGTGTGGGTTATTAGGATTTTTTTAAAATGTTGCTGGGTATCACTGACATCATAGCAGCAGTAAATAGCTTCGTGTTAACAGAGATAAAAAAAATACTTAACAGGAAATAAAACGTGCAGAAATAACAGGAAAGCATGGTAAATTGTATATCAACTTCATACAATTTATATATATTTTTGTGTTTTTTTTAGGTTACAATTTTTTTTTACAGTACATGTGATAAAAGGGAGAATTTTTCCACAGAATTTTTCAACCATTCACAGAGAGAAGTCGAAAATTTTGTTGCCCTGAAACCAAGGTTCGTGGTGAAGAGATTGAATTTTTTTTTTGGGCATTACTTAAGAATTCTGCGCGGCACACATAAGCGGATTGCGCGGCACACATGAAAGGATCACGCAGCACATAAGATTTTTTTGATTTTTATAAGAGGATCGCGCGGCTCACATAAAAGGATCACGCGGTACGGTTAAGAGGATTGCAACGGAACACATAATTTGGAAATCTATTTCACACATGAAAGGATCAAATACACATAAGAGGATCGCGATAGCGGCATTTAAAAAAAAAAAAAACGCGGCACATTTTAAGAGGATCGCGAAACACACATAAGAGGAAAAATAAAGAAAAAATAACTTTGGATCACGCGGCACACTTAGAAGGATTGCGGCACATATAAGCGGATCGCGCGGCACACTTAAGAGGATCGCGCGGCACAAATAAGAGGATTGCGTGGCACACTTAAGAGGATCGCGCGGCACACTTAAGATGATCTCACGGTACACATAAGAGAATCGCGCGGCACACTAGTATGCCGTAGCACACCGGTTGAGAATCACTGCATTAGAGACACAATCTCGTTTTTCACGCCGGATTAATCTGCTGACTTGAATTCCCAACCTTTTTTGAATCCAGTGCTCTCTTTCTCATAGAGTTGTTGTTAACCAAGGATAAAGAGTCCAGGTAGCCCCTTGGCAGGGGTGGAGCTAATGTATATGTGTGAACGTGAATGTAATTAACTCGATTGGAATACAAACTCGACTCACCGATTTCTCGTTTTGAGAAAACAATTGCACCAACTGCACGTTGCTTATCTGAAAGGGTACCATTTTTTTTGTTGTTTTGGTCGTCACAGAAAATCCACCGATTTGTTCTCCAGCCTTCTTCCAGTGTATTTTTTCTTATGTTACATTTTTACAGTATTTACATTATTCGGACTATTGTCCTCATCTTTGTCGCCATATTTATCACAACGTTTCGGCCGTTGTACGCTCCGGCCTTCTTCAGGTGGTTGGAATTTCGAACTGAACCCTTTATTTCGATCACTGGGGTAGACTGTTCTAGTTCCACATTGCCATGTTTGATGGATGTCGGTTATCAGTTATCTCCTGCTAATTTTCCCTCTGAAAGTTCTCCACTGCCTTAACCGGGTATTGAACGAAACACTCTTTGGGTCTGTCACTGGATCTAACCAACGCCTTTATCCACTGTGCCATGTGTCCTCGAGGACAATAGTCCGAATAATGTAAATACTGTACATAATACCTCATCTCATAAATATAGACAGTTACATTTTTAATCTGAACATTTTTAAAGAATTCGTTTACATTTGTTACGTTAACTTTTGTCCCTATAAATTTTAAATGCAATCAGAATCTTTGTTATCTTTCTTTATATTTCAGTTTTTTTTCGTCTGAGTCCATCCTTCAAATCTATAAATCAACCCTCCGTTCTTGCATGGAATATTGCTGTCATATATGGTCTGGTGCCCCCGCTGTACGTCTCAGGTCCTCGACAAAACCCAGAGACGCATATGCAATGTGATAGGTCTTGATCTGGCATCTAGTCTACAGTCGCTTTCTTGCAGACGTGTCGTGGCTTCTCTCTGTCTCTTCTACAAGTATTTTCACGGCAACTGCTCCGACGAGCTATTTTCGCTGGTTCCCAGACTACATGAGTTTAAGCGAGCTACTAGGTTTTCATCTCGGTCCCAACGTTTCATTGTGGAAACGGTTAAATGTAACCGTCTCTTCTACTCAAACAGCTTCTTCTTTTGCACTTCCCGTCCGTGGAACTCCCTTCCCCTTGCTTGATTCCCCGATAACTATAATCTTCAAATATTCAAGTGTAATGTCAATCGACATCTTATAGTCTGATCTTGTTCCTCGTTCTTCTCTGTTTCCTTTCCATCTTTCCCCGCGAATCAAAACGGAACAATCCATTATTTATGAGGTATTGGCAGGGCGTAACGCACGTCCTAACAAAGGGTCTAAGGGAGACAAAAGCTGAATTATAAAATACTTCTTCGGTAACCCGTCGCTTCGCTGACGGCAAGATGATTGAATTCTAAATTGTCTTTTTAAAATAATCGATTCATTAGAAAAAATATTCATTTTAAATAGAGAAGGAGTCATAGGAATGAATTCAAAGGATCTCATATTTCGGCTTTTCCTGTTAACCAGTTTTTGCTACCAGACTGAAAGGGATATTATTCCCCACGAAAAAGATTTTCATTTCAATTTGTGTGTGTTACATGTATAAGTTAATTCAATGAGAGATCTAAAAATATTTCTACAAAAGATTTTCAAAAAGCTTCAAAAATACATCTGTTTATTACCGGATAATATCTGAATATCTCAATAATATCTTATCTCAATAATATCTTATAATTATCTGATTTTTAAATATTGTTTGTTTTTTCAAAACAACAGATACCTAGATCTTGTTCCCCGTCCTCCTCTGTCTCCTCTCCTCAAACACGTCTCTTTACTCTTTTTCTCAATACTCTGTAACCCCTTACGTGCTAGTAGCACTCCCGCCTTGCTTGGGGTGAAGTGTTAAAAAAATGCAATGAAAGTCAAAAGAATACGTTATGGACGATATTAAAAAATGTCCATGTCTGACATACGCCCACGTCCCGCAGACACTTTTATTATTAATCGATTGGTCAAATTCTTTCCCACGCTGTGGTTCGATTTTTGTTTGCCGCTTGTTGAGCAAAAAGGCCTGCTGAACGGCAAAGAAAGTGAAGGTGAAATATCGCACGGGGAGAAAAACCTTGAATACGAGATATTACTTTGGTGTGAAAGACAAAAAAATCCATTAGTTTCAATAAGCAAGGCTCTTTATTCAGGGAGCAGTTTACCTGATACTGTTTGGATATAGTTAAGTGTCACGGGATATACTCACCTACATACTACACCTTTCTTCTCTCACGACAACAAACTAACAGACCAAATTTTCCCTTTGGTTAGTGTGAACTCAATCTCTCTCCGATCTTATATGTCCCGCTAAATCTCTCCTTACTCACCAGCGACTCTGACATATGTGGTCTAACTATATAAGTTCATGAGCGGAACTCCCTATTTTCCAGTCGAGTGTCACTTGATCTTGAAAGTTTTTATTTATTTAATTCCCTAGTTCAGACATTTGCAGTTAGGACACGCCATATTATTTCTACGGAGTCATAACACCATAATATCTCCCTGTTATGTAAGAATAAAGTTGCATCCAAACAGGCTTTTCTCCAGAACTGCCACTCTTGTGTAGGTACTTCCCAAACGCTACAATCTTAACCTCTTCAAGTGAAGGTACACTCGTTATCTATCCCCCTCATTTACTCATATCACACATCATTGTCATTTTAACTGGACTTCTACCTTGAGTGACACTTGAGCCTCCAGATATAGGATTATATAGTCAGGCAACATACTAGATAGGACAGAGTCACAGGAGTATCACTGTTGGGGAATTCTAAAATATAAAAATCCTCCCTGTTGAGAATTCTTCGATGTGCCGTATCCCTTCAAGACGTTGGCGATCATGGCTCTCTACAATTTCATGTCCGTTGTAGCTCTTTATAAATCACTAAGTAGGTTATACGTTGTTTTCCTTTGACCCTTTTGCCTTCAATCCGTGCTGGGGGTATCAAAATTTCTAAGCCTGCTTTTTTCATTATGTGCACTAGAAATGTCAACGGTCTGTTCCGGATATGAAGTATACGTTTCTTTATCATCATTGTCTCATTTGCCATACCTCACTTGTGCGCTTCATGATATTCTCAGCATCCTTCTGTAGAACAACATTTCTGTTGTTTCAAGTCTCTTCTTCATCGTTGAAGAGATCGTCCAGCACTTGCTGTCATACAGAAGGACAGATATGATATAGCAGTTTAGTACTGTTTTCCTTGTTTAGTCTAATCTATTTCGGGCTTCATTGACATAGGTATTATTCATATAAAAGAGTGTTGTAAGGGAGAATATTTCCCTGCATGTTTGGACTCGGTCGTCGGACGAAAGACATAAAATACTCTTACTTCAAGATGAGTAGCAGGAGGAGATTATTCAGAATTCACTGCCATATAGGAGGACTGATATTACGTAACAGTTCGGTAGCCTTTTCTTATATTCTAACGACATTTTCCTGTTTCTTAATAATTTGCTTAGGTTTTGTTGCAAAAGTTAAAATGGAATGAAAAAGTACAAATAAAAGACAAACTCTTTATATATTTTAAGAAATAAATAACATTTATTGTGTCAAAATGTTAACAGGTGTAAACGTGGCACCATTTCTTGCAACAGATTCTCCGGGGTATGGATTACGGTTGGATGTTCTATTCTTCGCGTTTGTTTGGCAACTGAAAGATAAATAAAATTGATATTATTGGACAATTTTAGGCATTATTATGATAACTCATATTATCAATTATGAGAACTATGGAGAATTATTATTGCCATATCTACATTATTATTATTATTATTATTATTATTATTATTATTATTATTATTTCCTTTGATTTCTGATATGTACAGATTTCTTTACGGGTCCTGCCCAGAGACCTAATTAAAAAATACAAAAAAAAAAAAAGAACAACAACATACATTTTATACATAGACAAAGCCCTTCGTAAGGTGTGGACTGTACTTGTGAGAACAATCTTTTGTATTTCTTTAAGGCATGGACTTCCAGGAATCCCTTCAATGAGTCTATTGGAATCTTTTCCAATAAATCCAAGGGTTCCAACTACAACAGGGATTGCTGATGTTCTCATGTGCGACATTTTTGAGATTTCGATTTCAAGCTCCTTGTATTTTGAAAGATTTTTGAAAATCTTCAAGGATACATTGCAGCCCGCAGGGACTGACATATCAATAAGGTGGGATTTTTTTTTGTTTGCGGTCTCTATTAACAATGCCAGGGCAATAAGCTTTGATTTTTCTGTCTGTGTGTCTTGTGTAGTCCCATAAAATTGTTACAGGTCCTATCACCGTAACCATTCGTTATTAATTATTATTAACCCTATTATCACAAAATGAACAATTATCACTGCACTGGTAATGATGGGTGAAATCTTGGTTAGGAAAATAAGATTTTATTGACATTAGACAAATGAATAGGAAGACATAGGTTCGCCCATCTTACGTTTCATAATCCTCCTGGTCTTTTGAACGAGGAGTAGAGGTTCATCACTTGTTCCTTCTAAATTCGATATCAACTCTATATTTCTAACGTTTCCGTCTCTAAGAGTCTGAAACTTTATTTCCTACTTATTTATTTTCCTTTTTTTTTTTTTCTCAATAGGAGTAGATAGGTTTGCGTATCACCTGGTTTACACTACTCCCCGGGCATTCGAACAGGTGAAGGGGTTCATCACTTGTTTACTGTTTAAAATTGGATTTTCAGTTACTTCTAAAGCCCATTTCAACTCTATAGTTCCAGCGTTTCCGCCTAATTTTGTTTGTTTCGTTTACGACCTTTCAACCGCTATTAGGTTACTCAGAACCATAGGCACCCGGAGGCGGTGTAATCGTTAGCAAGCTTGTCTCGCTAGAACAATTACGACTGAGTAGTGAGTTCGATCCTCACTGGGTGCCCCATACTTTCGGCCTTGTGCCACATCTAAGCTACGCTTGGAAAATCGCATGGGCACCTCGAGGTGGTGTAATGGTTAGCAAGCTTGTCTGGCTAGAACAATTACGACTGAGTAGTGAGTTCGATCCTCACTGGGTGCCCCATACTTTCGGCCTTGTGCCACATCTAAGCTACGCTTGGAAAATCGCATGGGCACCTCGAGGTGGTGTAATGGTTAGCAAGCTTGTCTGGCTAGAACAATTACGACTAAGTAGTGAGTTCGATCCTTACTGGGCGCCTCATACTTTCGGCCTTGTACCTCATCTAAGCTACACTTGGAAAATCACTAGGTTATTCAGAACCAAGTCTCCGCCTAAACTCTGAAATTTTATTTGATAATTACTTTTTTCTCGATAGGAATAGATAGGTTTACCTATCACCTGGTTCACACTCTTTCCCAGTTTTTTGAACAGGAGTAGAGGTTTATCTTTTGTTTCCTTTTTAGGATAGGGTTTCCGGTTCCTTCTAAACACTACTCCATACGTCTAAACTAATCTCTGCGGTCTTAGGGCCACATCACATTGAAACACCAGCTCTTGTACGATCACCGAAGTTAAGCAACGTCGAGCTTGGTCAGTACCTAGATGAGTGGCCGTTTGGAAATACCACGTGCTATAAGCTTCGATGTGAGGGTAGTGTAGGAATTGATGATCCGAGTTCTAATTCCATTTGTGTTCACTATATATACCTAAGCGCAAATACACTTCGGAAAGCTATTAATCCATCTCTTTTCTCTCGAGTTATGGGTTAATTAATAGGACATATATCACTAAACAATTATTATCTCCAAAATTAAAATTGGGGTCAAAATATTTATAGTTCAGCATTATGTAACCCAGCGTTTCTAAACATTTTTTACCCTTGCGTAACCCTTAAAATAAATTACATGTCTCAAGGAACCCCCGCGCAAAAACAAAATTATATACCATATGTTTCTCATTTTATTTTCATTGTAGTTCACGTGGTAAATAGTATATATTTCTGAATAACTGGTTTAAGGAAAAATTAATAATTCTTTGTCAAATGATAATGATATTTTGAGAATGCTAAATAAAATTCATACTGTTCGTTTATAATATTTCAGCGAGTTTTGATTTACACACACACAAAAATTATATTTTTAATAATAGGTTACATAGGATGATGTCTATATTACAATATTACAATAACCAAGAATATATTGTGTGTATTTAGTAATATTACGTATATGAAATTAAATAAAATGTCAAAAGTGCTTTAGCTTATTTCACCTGTTCTCGCAGAACCCTGAGGGACCTTTTGCAGAACCTTACGGTTCGAGAAACGCTGATATAACCCATAGAGGTTGATAGGCCTTTTAACAAAAACAACCAACCAACTAAACTCTGGAATTTTATTTTTTATTTAGTAATTTATTTTTTCTCTATAGTTTCACCTTTCGTATGTTTTACTCTCCTTCACTGCTTTTTGAACAGAAGTAGAAGTTTATCAATTGTTTCCTGTTTAGGATTGGATTACCGGTTTCTTCTGTTCATTCTCTTTCACTCCCAGTAGGCCACCTTTGCTTCTTAGTGGCGTTATCGCCATTCCTGGGGTGTACTGATTAAAAAAAAAAAAAAATCATTCTTCTTCCGAAAGAATGAAATTTCCATTAAAAATTTATTTCTGAAGGACAACACCCACCTTTCACAGCTGTTTGGAAATAAAAGAAAGTAAAAATAGTTCGGCTGCTTCAGAATATTCGGACTATTGTGCTTATCTTTGTTGTTTTTGTCCAAACGTTTCGGCCGTTGTAACACAACCCCCCCCCCAACCGGTCTTCCTCAGGTGTATATCGATCTGTCTAATTTACAGGGAATTCTAAATTGAAATCTTTATTTCATCTATTGATCAAATTATTTTCACTTACAAATCTGTCACAGTTGACCATTCTCTTCAGTTCTTTGTGGGTTTTTTTAATGAAGACCGACATAAATTTTCTCGCTTCTTCACCGCAGTTCTTCTCAACATTCTCTACTGTACAATCATAAGTGTTTTTTAATTCACTGCAAGAAGAAAAGAAAAACGAATAAACTTATGAATATATGAAACCAGTGCAAAACAATTTTACTGAAATGAAAGCCACAAGAAACTCAAAATGATATTATCCGTTTATCTATGAGAAAAGATTTGATATTCATTGGCCGAGCAGCCTGTGCTTTATGGATAGCGGCTCGGATGGAGAAATCGGAGAGCTGAGTTCGAATCCCAGTCGAATCCATTGCATTCACTTACGTAGAAATCTATGAATCCTCTTCTTCTCCCCTCCAGCTATGGGTAAATAATAGGACAGACGGAGTTCTATAGCCAAATAGGCAAATGGTCTACCGCAGAAAGAAATGGCAACCTACTGCGGGAAAAATCTGCCTCGTATCTTTCGATACATGATCGCCTAAGTGTGTATAACGTATGACATGTAACTGACAGATTACTAGTTGCGGCTCGGATTGAGGAATTGGAGAGCCGAGTTCGAATTCCAGTCGAATCCATTACATTGACTTACGTGCTAATACCCTTGGGAAAGGTATGGATCTTCTTCTTTTTCTTCTTCTTCCCCTAGTTATAGGTAATTAACAGGACAGTCCAGGTTCTATAGCCTTGGATGGCAACTCGTCTACCGCAGAAAGAAATGGCAACCTATTGCGGGGAAAAAAATCTACCTCGTCAGTCATGTATCGAAAGATACATGATCGGCTAAGCGTGTATGACGCATAACTGACTGACTGATTACTAGTTATTAGTTTTTTTTTTAAATAGTTGTTTTGATTCGTGTAATACACATTGGGGTTACATTTTTTATAAAGTTGCTACCCCCTCTCTCTGAAGACAATAAACTACACCCGGCTGCAAAACCTTTGATTGGGAGATTTTGAGGAGTGTTTAAGCACCTCTTAATTGCTGCTATTCCCATATCAACCCTGATCCGGGGTGGTAGCACCTGTTAGGGTCCCAGCTATGGACAAATAGTGAACTTCCTAATGGGCGTCAGAATAATATAAAAGTATAAAAACATATTTTGTAGCAAGAATACCAACAATATATTTTCATAGTAAAAAAGTTGCCAGCAATACATTGTTGGAAAAGGATGAGAAAAATTACCAGCAATAATTTCTTAATTAATTAGCACTTCGTAGATAAATTAGTGTGTTATATTGACTGTAGTAAGAATGGTAAGTAAGAATGGTGTTTTGGTATAATGAAAATTGTAGTGTGTGTGGGTCAGTTATTGTGTTAAATATAAGGACAGACTAAAACCATCCTTCCCCCCACTTCTGACCTTATGCCACATTTTCTGTAAAAACAGAAATACATATTGAGGCCAGTACTATTCGAGTTAGGCATTTCTTCACTCCCAGACCGTTGACCTGGGATGAAAGTGTACTACCTGTTCTATAATGGTAATGGTGATATTAGCCCATTCCTTATATGGAAATCGGCATTCACTGATGAAGAGCATATGCTACATTTGATTGAAATTTATAAAATCTTTCTCTCAAAACAATTTTAGTAGGAAAATATTTTCTCAAATCCACTGATTCCTTCCTTACCTTTTATTTGAAGTGGTGTGGAACGTCAACATTTTGATTATGCTATTATTTTCTATTGTGAGACCGGAAACTACCTACACAATAGACTCTTCCAGGCCTATATTAAGTAGGCGACATAGCACTCTAGAGAGTGACAGAGAGTGACAGACTGAGACACAGAGAGACAGTGAGAGCCGCGTACGACTACCAGTATTGGACACTAACATATAGTAAGCTCCGCTTACACTATCTCTGTAACCTGTTGTTAATATATCTTTCTTACATCTAATCCGTGTTCCGTGTTTTCCTTCTGTGGTCCCAACTTTGGCTCCACATCATTTTCTCTTCCCGTTGAGTGTTATCTATTTTAGCTCTTTCTGCTGTTGGAAGTCTTCAGTTGATATGGTTTCTGTTATTTGTAATCTATAGAACCAGCACCCTGTCGGCTGGTGCTATGACTGCACCTCCGCAGAGGGGTAAATCCCCCCACCCAATAAGACGATAAACTACGTTTAACAGCAAGGGCTCTGATCAGGTGATTTTGAGGAGTGCGGAACCACCTCTTAATTGTTGGTGCTTCCAGGTCCACCCTGACCCACCCGCTAGAGTCCCAACTATGTGCAAATACTTAATTCCCAAACTGGGGTCAAAACACTATGAAAGTGTAAAAATAGGTTTTAATACTAGCAATAGATTTTTGAAGAAAAAATTATTACCAGTAATACGTTTTTTGAAAAAAATATAACCAGCAATAAAAATCTTGTCGGCATTAAATAACCCATTGAGGTTGATATGCCGTAAAACAAAACAGAGCAAACCAAATCAAGCAATATCTACAACGTTCGAAGAAGGGTGGTACCGACTAAGAGCTGCAGGCTTCGTTAACTCGAAGCCATTTTAATTATTGATCATAGTAAACGATTGCACACAGCTGACAGATTAAATATTTCTGAATGAGTCTGGGGTCTGCATGACGCCCATTTGAAATTTTCGATCTGACGAGGCTATTTAAAAATATGACTCGATATTTTAAGTTAATGTTTTTGTTTTGTAGCAATTTGTGGTATTGTGTGAAACTACTTCTAGCGCAGCGTATTCTATGTTCAATTTCTTTATCTGGTTTTCAGAATTGTTAAACATCGGTGTGACATTGGATTCCGGCGTATTAGAACTTTATCTCTTATGTTTTATTTCATTTGTTATATGCAGTCCAAAACAGAGGGCGTACCAAGCTTACTACCGCTAGTAGAAACAAAGGGGTAACCTTTGGTAAAGAATATTAATAATTTTTTTCTTTTTTTATATTTTTTATTAATGTTCACACTTTACAAGGCCCAAGAGTCACTCAAAGTAGAGGGTTATTAAAGAGGTTGTTCTATGAGCGGTAAGAGTAAGACGTATGAAGTGCAGTTTATGTGGATATGAGGGAAAGATAACGGTTAATTGCTCGTCGGTTATTCGGAACCAAGTCTCCGCCTAAACTCTGAAATTTTATTTTTTATTTGGTTTGGTTTATTTTGGTTTGTTTTACGGTATATCAACCTCAATCGGTTACTTAATGCCGACAAAATTTTTATTACTGGTTTTTATTCAAAAATCTATTTCTGGGAATATTCCTCCTTGAAGAAATCTAGAGCCGGTCATATTTTTTTCAAAGAATGTATAACTGTTTGTATTGCTGGTACATATTTTTTTTTTTTTTTTTAGTATTGCTGATAATAATTTTTCCTTCAGAAATTATTGCTGGTAATAATTTTTTTTATTACAAAGTATTTATGGTATTAAAATTTATTTTTACACAAATAGCACCTCGGACCAGGGTTGACCTGGGAACGACATCAATTAAAAGATGGTTCCACGCTCCTCAAAACCTCCTGAACGGGGGCCTTTCTGTTGGACGTAGTTTATCGTCTTACCCAGGACGCGGATGTAGTTTATCGTCTTACCCAGGACGCGGACGTAGTTTATCATCTTACCCAGGACGCGTATGTAGTTTATCGTCTTACCCAGGACGCGGATGTAGTTATAACCAGGACGGTCTATTTGGTTATTAATTTTTTCTCAATAGGAGTAGATAAGTTTACCTATCACCCAGTTCACACTCTTCCCCGGGCTTTTAAACTAGAGTAGAAGTTTATCTCTTGTTTCCTTTTTCGGATTGGGTTTCCGGTTCCTTTTGAAGTCTATTTCAACTCTATATTTTCCAAATTAAATTTAAAATTTTTGTTTTCTATTTCGTAATTAATTTTTCTCAGTAGAATTAAATAGGCTCTTCTCCCATCGGTTTCACACTCCTTCCCGGTCTTTTGAACAGGAGTAGAGGTTTATCCCTTATTTCCTTTTTCGGATAGGGTTTCCGGTTCTTGATTTGAAGTGGTTGAGATTGTAGTGATCGGAAAGGCATCCTTTTGGGAGTCAGTTACACAAGGTAGCGGTTCGAGGAATCGTTAATAATTAGACATTGCTTCGTACTAATCAATTCCTTCAGATAAGAAAAGAGAGAGAGAGAGAGAGAGTTCGTACCAGTGTATGTTGTATGGCGGGCCATATCCGTGAGAGTTATAAAATTATTGGAACTAAGAATTTTGTAGCTCGTCAGAGCATTTTCCATAGCAATAGCGACAGCGTTACGCCACTAGTTGGAACGAAAACAAAACTGTGGCACCCACCAGGAATGACCGCCAGCGTCATTATAGTCACTTATAATGGCAATTTCTTATTTTTCTAAAAATGGGTAACAATGAAACTATTAACATCTACCAATCATAATTAATACCCTAAAATAGCAAAAATAACTTTACCATTTAAAATTCTAGTTTATTAATAACAAAAAACAGACACAAGTTTACATGCGGCTGTGTACGCTCGTTTGTATGTATATATATGTGCATGTGTGTATATCTATATACGCACATGCATGTATGTGCAAGCGTGTAAATGCAGCCATATGCACATAAATTTAAACAATGATAAATAAAAATTTAATTATAAACCTAATCTCCTACAATTAATAACTTAAGTACTTAAGACACCCCCAAACCAAATAAGAAAACAAAATAATAGCCAAGTGAAGACATATAAAAATATTTACTTTTTCATTTAAGCGTTAATCCTAATTATTTATGTAAAAAAAAAAACGAAATATAATTTTTCCTAGCTTAAGAAAAGACTAGGACGCTAAAAAATTAAAAAAAAAAAACGATAACATGTCTAGAGAAAAAAACGGATATAAATACCTACAAATAGCTACATTTGAAGGAAAAGAGGAAAAGGAGAAAAAAAGAAGAAGAAAAAGCCAAGCGTAAAGTGTAGAAAAAATGAAGAAAAGGACAAACAATCACGAAGAAAAGGACAAATAATCACGCACATGTACGAAGACAGGCACATGCGTATGAAAACACATTCGCAGAGACTGGTACATGGTCGCACAGGTGCGAAACGCACGCACCCACACACAAACCATACGGAGGAAAAAAAATTTGCACCAATGATAAGTGCATGAAAAAAAGAAAAATCGAGTAGTATAAGCAGTCAATGGTTGATACCCAGTGAAATGTAGACGGACGTCTTTGTCTACGAATCTCTGGAGTCGGGATGATGAAGGTAACATCAATCAGCTAATTGGCAATCTTTATTTATATTAATTATATATATGTATATATAAAGAACTTACTTGCATAAATCTGCATCAGGGCCTCTGCGAGCCCTACTTTTCCTTTCCATTACGCATTTGTTAATGACCATTTGGTCGTAGTGTTTACCTAAGCAAGGCAAAACAGCCAAGAACTCTGTGAAAAGAAACAAAATAATCCAATGATTAAATGTATGTCGTGTTTTTACATATCTACTTGTCTATAATAATCAAGTAGTTCCAAGCGGGTTTATTGTTTATGTTTAATAAATTATTCTGAACTCTAACTCCAACGTAATAGAGGATAATAGGCAAGTGCCTAAATTCGCCCGAGAGAAACTTGGTAAGACTGTGGTGAGTACAAAATAATGATAACTCCCTTTAACCCCCTACCTGGGATAAAGACGGAAATAAATTTGCGAGCCTATGTGAAATTGCTTTTGGACCAATGAAAATCTCGTCTTCACAGAAATTAGCCGTTGATCCAAAAAAAAGAAAAGAAAATAGATATCCTATGCGAAATTCTTTTTGGTATACAATAAGAAAAAACATATAAATTAACAATTGAAGAGTGTCTGAAGTCATATAAAATGTTTCCATTTTGTTTACGTTCAAGTTCTTTCTAGTGTCAAATTACTCGCTAATTATATTATTGGCTTTTAACCAAGCACGTAGTATTTCAAAGAATTTTCCTTAAACAATCTAAGAAAGCTAAGTATTTCAAACTATCTCTCTTCTTCTACATTCAGACGTATGCAAACCGTATATCCCTTTCTGTGAACAACAAACTATTTTTGTTTTAAATATTTTTGATTATCATTTTGTGTCAGATCATTTAATCTGCTGTATGAACATTTCCTTTTCATGACAATTCGTTGAAACAATGGACTTTAACAATTTGTGAGTTATTTTCCTGAAAGGAACTACTGACACAACTTCAAGTGCATGAATTCGTAAACAAATTCCTTGTGTTGCTTTGATAAAATTAACTGGTGTGTTTCTTCGTCATTCTCAGTCTCCATTAATGTTTTTGACGTGGGTAAATCAACTGTTCGTTTTAAACCCGAAGTTCCACATCACTATAAGACAAAGCGTCACTCAAAAATGACAAAATTTGGAATAATGATTTAGTTTCATTATCACATAGAGCAAGAGGCTTGATTACCGCAGGAAGACAACGACCTGAATAAAACAATAGACTGATTGCAATTGATAATCACACATACAGTGTTGATAATTGTTGTGTCGAAGAACGAATTCAATGAAAATCTAAGAATAATGACTAATAATTTAAATAAGATATCCTTGCTTATTTTTTGCCTTGGATCCGCCTTCAATACGCAATTGCATTCAATTTAATTACAATTGTAAGGATGCAGGTGTCGTTTATCTCCCTTTGGTGGAGATAGGGCACGTGGGTTGCATGATGGCTGGTAAATTACGTCACTCTATACAGCGACGAAAGCGTCGGTCATTTTCAGTTCGTTTACAGCAGCCACCATATGAGGTTGCTTTCTTTTAGTTTGAGTGAAAGGGTTCAGGCTGAGGTTAAATCTGCCTCCGTTGCGTCTTACAAGTCAACGATGCCGTTTCCCTTTGGGAATATATCTTTCCTAGATATGGAATGGAACTCCTGCCCAGAGTCTTCAATTTGGGAAAACCCAAGGCTCACTGTTCCTCGTTTGTGGGATATGTCCCCGCCTGGAACAGAGATGAATCCGGCCCATTTGAATCTGGATTCTTAAAAATAGCTTCTCCATGTACAGGAGTATCTCCATATTATATGAAAGACCCTTCTTTTTTGTTTTTCCTTTCATCCTACTTTGTTGTGTAGATATATGTGATATTTTATTCTCTGCGTGGGACCTTTGTAGTTATTAGTATTATAAAAATCTCTCTGAGAACAAAGCGTGTTTGTCATTCTTTTTCCTTTCAGCCATTTTGTTCTGTCTGTGAAATATCGGTGTTATCATATCATGGATATAATAATGGCCATAACGGTAGGAATACTATTGGGAAGAATAAATATTTATACCACAGCTCTCTTTCGTTACACAGTTAATGGTTGATAAAGTAGTAGTAATAGTTATGGAGATTCAGTTGTTTAATGAGGCCTGAGGCGTAATTATCAAAATATTTTGATGGAATTGCATCATTATTTCAGCCAGTTTGGCTGTTTTCATTTAGTCAACTGTTTCATTCACGTAATTGTTGGTCAGGTAAACTTGGTAGTCAAGCCGAACAAGCTAAAAAGTGACAATATTTTAATATTTTGCCAGTAAGTGTTTGTTAAATATTACACGCTAATAAAAATAAAATAGTAATGCTAATGATAAGTGTAATATTTCCACGTGTGGTGTTTTGGGTTGAAAGACATGGAGACCCGCTTGACAGTTGCTTATTCCAAGTTCACATCTTCAAAAATGTGTGTACAGTGTCCGCATCTTGCAGTGGGCTCTCGTTTTTTCTTTATTTCACGCTACGTCAGAAACTCTTTCAGGAATGTCCTGTATCAAGGGACATAACTCGTGGTTTTTAGCATCTGCGCACAAATTTCCATACCAGAAGCAGTGCTTATTCATTGACCGAACAGTTAGCATTATTGTTAGTTGAAATTTATAAAATCTTTCCTTTGAAACAGTTTTTCAGGAAAATAAGTTTCTCATGTCCTGTAACTGTTATCGCTCTTTCTCGTATTGATAGGAGTTTAAAACAGTGTGGAAAGTCAACGTCTTGATTATATCATTATTTTCCCTTCTAGTTACGCGTGCTCTTCATTTTTAGCTGTTGCTGCTGTTGGGGGTGATATGATTTTAGTTATTTGGTAAAGCTTTGTTTTTAATTCTGTGGCGTCAGTCTAAAAGATCTGATGAAGGATTATTTTCCTTGTGACCTGGAGTGTTCATTCACTTGAAGTCATTTTTAATCATATATCTGAGAAAACAGTTGTATAATGCTGATAGTTTAGTCATTTTTGAAGGAGTTGGATGCCATGGATCTAAAAGATCTGTTGAAGGATTATTTTCTTTGTGACTTGTAGTGTTCATTCACTTGAAGCCATTTTCAATCATGGATCTGAGAAAATGGTTGTATATAGCTGATACTTAAAACATTTCTAAACAAATTAAACACCATTTATATAGAAGTAGACATCCGCCAAAGTTATTTAAGTACGTGAATGGAATTCTTAGGTTGATGGTTTTGGTTTTGTAACAAATTGTGGTGTTGGAAAAAACTAGCCTCAAACACAACCAATTCTGTGTTCCATTTCCTTAATATCAAAATATCTTAGTGATAGATCTGTATATTGAACTCAGATTTCTCAAAACTAATGATGAGTATTAATTTGTTTTTGAGTATGACGCCAGCTAGAGTACATTTTATTAGAATTAATGAGTTTTATGTTGAGGATTATGTCGTGGAAAACAAAGGAATAGTGTCAATCAAAAATGGGATAAAAACATTTTTTAAAAGAAATAATAAAAACAAATATATTCACTAATTTTTTGTTGATAATGGGACAAAAACACCAAAACTTGAGCAGAATAAACAAATCACTAACCTAGCTAAGAGAAACAAGTTTAAACTGGAGTGGGTACGGAAGCAAATTTAACCCCATACCGACACTTGAAGGCTGAAAAAAGCCACTAAAGTGTTGCTAATTTAACACAAATCAAACTCACCTTATTTAGCTAACTTGCACGGAAATGTATTGTCGATTTAGTTCAATTTAAAAAATGTCTTATCCCTTTTTGTTTAGCACTATTTCATTATTATTGTCCCTATTCCATTTTTATTGTTACTATACTCATTTTGAAACTGAAATGTTATAGAATTTATTTTCAAGGTTAAAACTTTATTCTTATCAAATGGCGCTAAACTACATTATATGAAATTGGAAATGTGAACAATTGATGCACAGTTACAATTACGTCATACTACTTTCAGTCATTCTTAATATCATTTGAAATGGATATAATTTTATACCGCATTTTATTATTATTCTCTGGAAACCGAAAGTGAAAGTCATCGTCTCAGTGATCTGAACACAATATAGGATTAACTATTAGTGAACAGTGAGAATTGCTGAGTTTTTTCTGTGTCATTTATGGGAATATGACATGTTTATCTTGTTTGAATGCGTGGCAAAACAGAAACTAAAAAAAGGCAAAATTTCTAATTAGGTCTGAAAGAAGAACGTGAATAAATGCATCAAAGTATAATAATTATAAATGTCTATAATGTTCTGAAAGGTATATTGCATTTTACTTTGTACGAATAGTTCTGTACAAAGAGAGTTTAGGTTGGTACCGGATGCTATATGCACTAATCCAGCTAAGAGAAGTATGTTCAACCTGAAGTGGGTGCCGAAACGAATTTCACCCCCCTCATACACTTGAAGACTCAGAAAAAAAGAAACACTTAAGTCTGGCTCTTTTCGCATAAACCAAACTTGACCCATTTACTTTCTTTGAACGGAAATCTATTGTCGATTCAAGTTAAGCAAAGTCGAGACTGGTCAATATCTAGACGAGTGACAACTTGGGAATACGAGATAATGTAAGCTTGGATATGTTATGAATAATTAAGAGTGGTCTCCCTTGTTTTGTTACTCTCCTCTTTGAGAAAGCTATTTCTGTTTACTGAGACTATAAAAGGACACCATACGCGAACCTTGTATTCTCAGTTGAATAAAATTTTCTGCGTACTTTTGCCATAACATTGTGTATGGTGTAGTGGATAATGGCTCGGAATTTTTAATCGGAGAACCGAGTTCCAATTTCAGCTGCGTTCGCTATATTCATTTACGTTCAAATACCTTTGGGAAAGATATGAAACCACCTCTTCTCCCAGCATCTATAAATTAATTAGTAAAACTTGTATGACTAAAGCTATTATTATTTCCAAAAGAAAAATAAATCTGCGTACAAAATACTTAGATTTCGGTGTTAAATAAACGATAAAGATTGATATGTCGCTAAGCAAAAACAACCAACCAATCATTGTCGATCCAGTTTAATTTAAAATCTGTTCTTATTCCATTTGGATCGGTATTCTTCCATTTTGGTTGGCATTATTCCATTTAAAGATCGAAAATGGTATAATGGAATAATGCATCATTATCATTGTCTTCTTTTTTACTAAGCAATATCATAGAGAACAAGTGACAAAACTGTGTAAAATATAATTGTTGATGACACAGAATGTGTCTATTTTTCTGATTGTTAATCTGACGTTGATATCAATGATCGAAATCAAATTCTACCTTTCGAATCACTGACGTTCAATATATTCCGTTGTAATCAGCGTATCGAAGTAAAAAAAAAAAAAAAACTCCACTTAGACGCTTTGCAGAACCCAATCTATACGCACTGAAATTATGCAAATAAGGAGAGTTGTTAATCTACTTACGTTGTGCACCCTCACCACACAAATATCCATAGGCATTTTTTACTTGAGCCAATCTCACCATTGGAGGTCGTTCTTCTCTGCAACCGACAGTGGCCTCTACAGAACAGTTCAGGAATTGCGTAATCACACTGAAAGTGGAAAAAAATATTGACAGACGTCACATCAAACCCAAGAGAGTAGGAGAGCAAGCTGGTCAAAAGATGATGGTAAAAATAACTAAGATGGCAGTGCTAACTCGTGAAGTAAGTACATCGTAACAATAACTCACTCAGACTTAAATACTAGTTTTACGCTTTTTTGTTCGCACAAAGCCCAAGGTCAGGATTACTGAATAAAGCTGCTTTATGAGCGTAAGAGGAATAGGTAGGAAGTGCAAATTATAAGGATAATTAGTATAGATAACAGCTGACCCTGGACTTGAAGAGGTTAAGATTGTAATAATCAGGGAAGCATACTGTCGGAAGTATGTTCCACAAAATGGTGGCTCTTTAGAAGAAGTTATCTGAATGGAACTTCCTCTTTACTAATGGTATATGAAGATAATATGGATGGTCCATCGTTGTGTACATGGCATGGTGTGTCTTAGATGTAAAGGTCTGACCTAGTATAACTAAAAAATGTAGCTCGTCTGATTATTTTCTATAGAAATAGAGATAGATTTGCGACGTTACGTCTGTGGGAAGGGGATTGTAGGGTGGAAAATAATTCCTCATACGCCTGTATGAGGGCGTCGTTCTATCTCCAACATTCTTCGTTGTCTCTGTTGTGTATTAAAAAAAAAATAATCAATTGAGAATCGGGTCTTCAGCTAACCTGAATAAACATGGCGTCTCTTGATTTTACTGACGATAAAGGCGTGTTGAAAATTCAACCATTAGTTTGTCAGTGTAGCGGAAAAGTGGGATATACAGACAGTGTGAAAACTATCGGTGCTGATTTCAGCTTTCTTCTTCTTTTACCTGAAGCATCACTTCAAGACATAGGCGATCATGGCTCTCCACAACTTCCTATGTCGTGTGGCTCTTAGCAGTTTTTCCCTTTGCTAAGGATCCCGCTCCGTGTTCCGTCATCAGTACACACAAGCTCGTCAGTTAAGTGGGTCACCGCCTTCCCTTATTTCTCTTGCTCTCAGTATGACCCGTGAGGGTTATGTTTTCCAAGCCCTCTCTCCTCATTATGTGTCCAAATAATTCAAGCTGTCTTTTCCTGTTTTTGAGTATAATTGTAGCAATTTTCTTTAAGATTTCCTGGTTGTTTACTCCCTCCGTCCATTGAATTCCCAGTATCCTTCTGTAGATGATTCCAGCCATGTTTGTTTGTTTTTTTTTTGCTTTTTTTTGTATTTTATAATCATTTCATCCCAAGAAACTTCCACTTTTTAACCTCTATATCTTTTTTGCAAAAATTTCAACCATAATCAAAGATATAGAGTTGAAGGTGAATACAGAAGACATTTTTATGAATAATATTTTAATAAATTTGCCTGATATTTTCGGTAAGTTTTCTAGCAAAACGTACCGTAATTCTCCATGTATAATACTCCTTCATCCATAATACGCACCCCTAAAATTGTGCTGAAAATGTGAGAAAATGCTTCTACTCGTGCATAATACGCACCCCTTGTTTGGTAATCAAACCCTATGAATTGTACCTCTTCAATTTCATTACAACCAGCGTTTCCTACTCTTATTTAAAAAAATTGTTTTAAATATAGAATAATATTATTCTAATTTAATTTTATGATAATTCTTATTTTATTTTACATTTTATTGTTAGGTAAATATGATTGTACTTGATGTCCTTACGGCATCTCAATCGCCGAATGTTAGTGTCAAATTGTCGGATGTTTATGGTGAGTAGTCATTTCGCAACTGTAATCGACCTATGAAACGGTAATTTTTAAAAGATTATTTTGTAGCTGTGCATAATACGCACCCCTAATTTTGCTTATTATTTTTAGAAAAAAATGCGTATTATACACGGGTAATTACTTTCTGAATACACTAAATATTTAAATAAACTTAACTGACATTTATTTTTATATCATTTTTCTTAAAACATAATTGCTTTCGTAACCTCGCAATAGAAATCAAATCAGATTAAAGAAGCATCTGAATGCAAACTTCGAAGTAGAAAAAAAATCTTTACTGTTTCTTTTGAGGTTATGTCCGTATAATTTCTCCATGTTAGCCGTGAAATAAATACAGTCAGCGAGTGTTCAGATCTAAAAAGGTTTTCATTACTGTACAGAGAAAACCAACTATGAGAATGGGGGAAAATAAATACTTCTATAGCCATAAATGTTCAATTACCCAAATTATATCTGTCTGTTTTTCTGAGATGAGGTAATGTAATTATTTGCATTATTTACATTATCAGTATATCTCTGAGATGATATATTATAATTGCTTACATTATTTACATTATTCGGACTTTTATTCTCGTTTTCATTAACATATTCACGACGTTTCGGCCGTTGTACACTTTGGCCTTCTTCAGATGATTAGAATTTCGAACCGAATCCTTTATTTCGTCCACCGGGAGTAGACTGTTCTAGTTCCACGTGCCATGCTTCTTCCGAGTGTTATTTCCTTTTAACTCTCCAAGTTTTTTTTTTCACCACTGCTGTAGCCAGGTATTGAACTCATAACTTGTTGGGTTTAGTCACTGGATCTAACCAACGCCTTTATCCACTGGGCCATGTGGATAACATACGATGAGGATAACAGTCCAAATATTGTAAATAATTATTTACATTGTTCGAACTGTTGTCCTCATCCTTAGAAGGTCGGAGCGTACAACTGTCGGAACATCGTGAATGTGAAAATTAAGTTGAGGACAACAGCCCAAACTATGTGAATAATGCAAATGCCAAAATTATGAAATCTCGTCAGAAGAACTCTATCTTTTCGTAATTTCGAGAACGGTTTCACCTGTTTTTCCCCGTTCAGTTCTTCCCGCTAAAAGTCAGTCTTCAAATCCAGCTGAAAATCAAAAATTTTCGAATTTCAGAGTTGGTTGGTGGAGCACAATCTTTGTGTTCGACTGATCTTAATGACAATCAAGTTCTTACCCTTCTGTGTTGTCCTTTTTCCAAACCGCCCCCGCCACGCCCTTCCTACATCGCACGACACTTGATCTATCAAGACAAATGCATACAGCCCATTCATTTCTTTTCAGGTGATAATGACTGTGGACTAATGTCAGAAATAATTAAGGATAAAGTTGTGACAAATGTCAACGCAATTGGTTCTCCGCACATCACTAAGCATCTATCATTCGGAATCAAAGTTTCAATGAGACAAAATGAAATTCAAATCACTCACCTGCATGTTGACTCCCATTTTTCTTGAGATGTGGGTAAAGGAAAATAAAAATTGGCCCACATAGAATTTACTGGAAAAATTGGCGTTAAATATTCAAATTCGCACTCAGAGCTACAGTAGGTGCTTAACCCTGTTAAAAACAAAACAAAATGGATATGACGTCAAAATAGTGTCAAACATTTGGTACGCAAACTCATGATATTTAGAAAAGAAAGAACCTTTAAGTAAAACAAATTTTAACCTTCCGTCTATTTTAACGTTGATATATATCAACTACTAGCAGCATGGCCCGGCGTTGCCCGTGCTTGATTCAAAAATCGTACGACTCATACAGCAATCGCTATCACTTGACTTAAAATATTTTTGCCCTTCCTTGCCTTTAAAGGAGTGCCCTTTGCCGTGCTGATGTTGCTACATGCCTTACTTCTTGCCTATCTCACACTGCGAATTTTTTCCTAACCTCTATGCTAAACTATAAATCTGTTACGATAAAAGAACTAAACAAAATGAACACAAAACGATCACCTTTAAAAAAGGTTTCGTAACTGGAAAAATCGAATGAAAAAAGAATGTTAACAAATATTTTTTCATACCCAAACCAGTTCTGCGGAATCAGAATCAACATTGAGTTTAAGCAAGCAAATGAGCCAATTGGATTAATGTGCCATGCAGATTTAAATTTTTCCCACTTGTGACGAATGCAGCTATCGATTTTTTTGCATGCTAGCATGCTAGTTAACATTCGTGCCAGTCAGCTGTTGGCTCTCACGCTGGCTAATAGAATCTTCCTGCCTATTCGTGGTAGCCAGCTATAGGCTCTCACACTGGCCAGTAGAAAATGGCCGCAAACTGCATGAAAACTGCCGTAGAAGCATGAAAAATCGATTATTTCCACTATCGATGGGAGTTGGGAAATGCAAAATCGGTCTTGGCCTTCCCGCTAAGTTGGAGCATGTGCATGTAAATTTTGGTGCAAACCCATCGAAAATTGCAACCGTGCATTCGTTACACACACACGTTCAATATATTTGTTCAAAGAATATGACTGTAAAGACAGAAGAACTTAATTGGTCGGATGTGGGTGGGGGCAGGATTGTTATAGTTACGGAAAGATTTACAAATAGATGCCAACGTGTTGAAGGTCAAGTAAAATGCAAATTTTAAACATTTTTCTGCACTATATAAGACAACATTCCTGAACAGAACTATTTTTGATATAAAGATCAAAACAATCTTTGAATAAAAGAATAATAATGAAGGACAGTTAATTAATTAAATATAACTTTTTAAAATCAATATGCAAATTAGTTAAACTTGAAAAGTGATATCACATAGACGTAGATAATATATAAGTCATATACTGAGCCTTTCCCGTGTTTATTGCTATAGAGTAGAGTTGTGTTCGTGGGAGAATAGAACTCCAATTTCGCATTTATTCATATATCAACCAATACGAGAATAATTCGTAAATACGCTTTTAAGTAGACGCCTAAGGGGGTCGTCAGTGATGTTTTGATTTGGTTCATCAGGGAGTTTCGGGTCTTTCAACATCATATCCCCATCACCAAATCGACCCAATCAGGGGAGATCAATTCGTAGTACTCGTAAGGAGTTTATTCACTCATTAACTGAAGAGTTAAGATTCATCAGAAATTTCAAAGACGAAAACCTTAAAATGTTCCTTGGTTAAAAACTAATATATATATATATATATATATATACATACACACACACACACACATATATATATATATATATAAATATAAACATGTAAGCAGTATGTGAAAAGATGCAAATAAAAAGCTATCGCACATAACATCACCAAGTGGGTCACAGTACAGCACCGTTATACTTCCTGCTTTTATTTTTGGTATGCATGGGAATTGTGCAGTTTTCTGTGGTAGTGCATACGGCAATTGTGTCTTGCGTCCGTGGTGAGCTATGCAGCAACTGAATGTTTTCACCAATGAGCTGTTACGTGTCCTCAAAGACCCCTTAAGTCATTAGTACTTCTTATCAAAATGGAGATAGTTGTCATCTGCACCCCTACAATACCTTTATAGATTTTCAAATACAAAGTTTCCAGACAGATTAATGAATGCTTGAGTCATATATATTCATTTAAGAAAGTTTCGTTAGAACAGATACATACTTTCGAAAGGAGCAGCATTTTGTAGCTTGAAATTCTGCACAGCTGTAAAAGAAATAAATATATAAGAACAACAAGAACAAGAACAGCAACAATAATAATAATAATATAATGATAATTATTAAAGTAAATTGAAATAGTATAATCATACTTATTATAAAACCCAGGTTGTGTGTGTGTGTGTGTGTGTGTGTGTGTGTGTGTGTGTGTGTGTCTGTTCGTTTATATATTGGATCGTATTTCCTACATTATTCAACCGACTTCGACAAATCTTCACAGGACTACGTAAAATAGCCTTGCGGTGGTTCTGACAGCGCCAAAAATTGGAAAAACACAATTGTTTTTGCACGAAATCAATTTGAAAACACGATTAAGAGGCATCGCTGTCGCGAGAATGGAAAGGGGACAACTCATATCGAGTTATACTTATTATAAAACCCAGGTTGTTTGTTTGTTTGTGTGTGTGTGTGTGTGTGTGTGTGTGTGTGTGTTTGTTTATATATGGGATCGGATTTCCTACATTTTTCAACCGATTTCAACAAAACATCACTTTTGTTTTGGCAGGTAGTGTTTCTTATTGTCTTGCACACTTTTTTCTTTATTTTTACATTCAGAATGCTTTAAAAATTTAATTTACAAGACAATTGTTTATAATAAAATTCTATTCAATCGATAGACTCATAACGATTGAAAACAATGTTTTTGTTTGAGTTTGGGTTTGACCAATTCTTAAAAAAAACAAAAAAAAAAAAAAAAAACTAATTAAGACATGCATGTCCGTCAATCTTAAACAATAATCTTTGTCAATTTTATTTTTCAGTCTTTATGATGGTCGATACTTGATCTATCTCTTACTGTTACATCCCCGGGCAACGCCGGGTTCTACTGCTAGTAGTAAATAAATATTGAAGAATAAACAGAAAATATGATAATATATGATAATATAGTAATAAAATATGAAAGTCTTTAATACTTTTTTTCTTTTTGAAATCATTTCGCCCAAGCAAATCAATAAAGTCACTAGGATGAAAGGGGGTTACTGTGTGTTAGAGAAAATGAGAAAAGGAAAACGTTATTAAAGAGGGAAAGAACAAGGTCAAAGTTGACTGGAAAGCAAGAATCCGGAAAAGAGTTCTACAAGCTAAATATGTGAGAGACAAAACCGTTAGCACAGAACTTACGTTTACATCTAGCAATATCAACTGCAAAATGATGAGACCTAGCTGCCAGTTTAGTACTGCGCTTAAATTCATAAATTGAAGGCACTAAAGACGAAAGCTCATTAGAACAAATACCATGAAAATATTTATAGAAAAGTCCCAAGGATGCTTCGTTACTTCCGTGGGAAAGTGACTGAAACCAAGATGTCAGGTCCGGACCGATGACATTGCAGATTTTTTTTTTATATTCTGTTAAGTATCTCTAGATAAATAGCTAACGTTATAATAAGTATATCAATACACTTGATGATGCGCAAGTTTCGAACGAAATAGTTTGTATCTTTATGTTCTATCGGTATAGGGGATGTTGGGGTTGAAGATAAATGCCAATATTTCTTGGCTGAAACTGAGAGATAAACAGAAGACTAATTTTTTCTTCCCGGCCTCAATTTATTGAGCGAAACCATATCATTTGTTTAAAACCATTACTGCCATGAATTTTTCAATTAAATAAGTTAAAAACCTCATCTTCCGTTTTTATACCGAAACATTGCTTTTAAAACTTTTATATGCCATATATGCAGAAATGTCTACAGGTCTAATTCGTGAAAATAATTATAAGAGAAATCTAAAATAATAACTGTGTATTTAAAGTCAAAATATTTAGGATTCCGTATTTAAAATGGCCGGATTCATCTATGTCCCAAAGGGAAATGGGATCATGTGCTTGTAAGCTGGGAAAGTAGATTTAGCCTCAGCCTTGGCTAAAGGCTCATTCATCTATGTCCTAAAGGGAAACGGCATCATGTGCTTGTAAGCTTGGGTGACAAATTTAACCGCATTTTGGGCTAAAGGCCCATTCATCTATGTTCCAAAGGGAGACGGCATCATGTGCTTGTATACTGGGGAGGCCCAGGCTAGAAGCAAGCCACCTTCTCATTTCCTTGCTGTTCACGAACGCAAAAACTGCCGCTTTGAGTCATTTTATGGAGTGACGTAACAAAGCGGCCGTCATGTGACCTATCTCTACCAAAGTAAGTAGTGTACATAATACCTCATCTCAGAAATACAGACAAATATATGGGGATTTCTTTTCAGTTTTTGGAAATGTGTACTGAAGCTGACAGGGAATTACTGGAATACGGGTGTTGGGAATTGGATAAATCATGTTACCCAGAGACAGAGGATGATTCCATAACCTGGAAGTAACTGTCATTAATAAGACCCCCTAAAATTCGAAGTTAGTCAGCGAAGAAATTAATGACATTTGTGTTCGGGAATACAAAACGTTTGGATTTCCTATTGCATGGTGTTTTTTAACAATATAAAGAGAGAAGAAAACTTAAAGAATTAAAGAAAGACTTAAAGAGCATAACACGAGATACACAAGAAGCTGTGGAGAACCATGATCGCCCAGGTCAGGGAAGGACATTGAACATATATAGAAAAAGAAATTACTAAAAAAATAATAATAATAATCAAAATAAAAAAAAATATTGGTGAGGTTTGTTCCAGGCTAGGGGTAAAGATAAAACTATTGAAAGAAAAAAAAAGGTATTTTGTCAATACACAAATATGTATGTATGTTCATTTGAGTGATTGTGTTTAAGATGAGTCAATGTCCTTCTTATCTATTATAATGACCTGTGGCTAACAGGCCAGGATTTTCAGCTAACTGAATGGCAATAGAGTTTGTTATATCAAACAAAGAATAAAGAACAAACACAGACAACTATTTTTGGTAATAAAAATGAATAAGAACTTTATAAAGTCATATACAGACTATAAATTAATCAAGTTACTGCTTCTAGGACTTTCCCCAAGTGGTAAACCAATGACAGCTTTCCCGATAATAAGTGGGCCCCTGAGAGAATGGGTTCTCTATATCAAATAAAATGCATTAATGAAACAAACACAGACAATTGTTTTAGTATAAAATGAAATAAGAATTTTATAAAGTTATCTGCACACTATCAGTTACTCAAGTCCAATGTGAGAGAACATTTTCAAAGCTAAAGATTATAAAGACAAAGTCAAGAAATATGCTGCCTGAGGAGAATTTGGAAAAAGTAATTGTAAGCTGAATTGAATGCAGAATAATGCAATTATTGGCAGATTCGAACAATCATCTAGTGAACACAAACGATTGCTACATGCAATGCTCTATTGCGCTTTTGAACTATCTGTTAATATGTAAATCGTGCAGTAAACTATTTAAAAGTATCAGAAAAAATTAAAATTAAGAAATAAATACATAAAAAATTCAATTATAATTATGTATTTACATTTGCCACGTTGCCCAGGCTTATCCTTGATTTTCTAATACATTTTGCCACGTCTTTCATATTTCACACAGTCATCTTTACTGCCAAAATATGTATTGTATATGTACACTGTAATTACTAAGCAAAGCACATTTTTTTCATAAGAATTTTAAGTGTACACCGTTTTCCATATGTATTTTTTTGAAAATATTATCTATTCGTTATTAGATGATAGCATTGCTGTTGTGGGTGTAGCCCCTTTGTCTCTTGGCAAACAATATTTTTAGACCCAGGCAGCCATTGATAATAATCATTAGTAAATGTCAAAATAATCATTTATTTTATTTTAATGGGACTGGAAAATCAGCTAGATTGACTGACAAAAATTCTTACCTCAGTTAGACTTCAAAACTTCGTATACAAAGATTCAGGAATAGTAAATACAGCGGGTCCTCGACTTACGTTCCTACGATCCGTCGTAATGCGATTTTCCGTGAAAGTTGAAATGTACCCGTGAATAAGCATGTACATACGATAACGCAATAGTAAAGTAATAATTTAGGACATAACGTTTTTCTATGGCCTATATTAACATTATTAGGACTAAAAAAACATGGTGGACATAAATATAACACATATAAAGAAATAAAATTGTTTTAAGCTGCTTGTATATTTATTGCCAGTGATGTCACTAGCTCTCGGTAGATGAGATGACGACGTGTTGGATATTGTCCCTGTTGTACTCGGAAGCAGCAACAAATCTGCAGAAGAAAGAAAAAACAAACGCATTTTTCTACCGTACCATTTGCGTTGTATGAATTTAAGTGCAGCACTAGATTAGCAACAAGATCTCGTCAATTTACAGCTGAATTTCCCAGATGTAACCGTAAGTTCTATGCTAACAGTTTCTTTTCTCGCACTTCTCACTTGTGGAACACTGCTTCCGTTCTATCCTATCCAACCAACTTTGATCTTCAAAAATTCAAATGCACTACCAATCGTTATCTACTGTCTTCCTGATTACTCTTCTCTTGCTTTTGCTCCTTAATAATATTTCTCTTTTTTCTTATTTTTTCGCACTCAGTAACCTTTTGTGTCTTAGAGACTTTACTGCTTTGCATGGGGTGAATTCCATAAAAAAATACTTACCTACGACTAGTGTTATCAACACAATGGCTGAGGCGTATAACAACTTCATCACGAATGTCAGTTCTTGTTGTTTTGATTCTTAGGCAGTTCTTCTTTAGTATTTCACAGCTGAAATTATCAACATTCACAAGCAGACAAGCTTTTTATATTGATAGCCAGAAGTCATACCGCTGCTACACTCCTGAAAAACACGCACGTCTGAAAACTCGTTCAAATCGGATGTAGGCTGGTCACGTCCGGGTTCAGAATACCTGATAATTGCGTCATTTGGGAAAAACAGACGAAGTAGACAAGAAGTCCAAAATAAAATGTAGAGAGAATGGTGGGGGCATAGAGAGAGAGAGAGAGAGAGAGAGAGAGAGAGAGAGAGAGAGAGAGAGGCAGGTGCGGGGAGAGAGACTAGGAGTTGGAGGAGAATGAGAGAAATAAAGAGAAATAAAAACATTAATCCAAATTTGATTTTGTTTGTTTTTGAAAAAAAGAGGAGTTCAAAAACACTGCGCCGAGAACAATCTGTAAACAACAGTAGATTTAACACACACACACAGACACACACACATTTATATATATATATATATATATATATATATATATATATATATATATATATATATATATATATATATATCAGGTAATAAGGAATAATTCTCAGCCTGATCCACTTCCACTTTCTTATATATATATATATATATATATATATATGTGTGTGTGTGTGTGTGTGTGTGTATGTGTGTGTGTTCCTGTGTGTGTGTCTGACATATGTGCACGCGCAAACACACAGATATTTCACATATGGGAAACCTTATTACATCTCATTCACCTTTGCTTGGACATCGACGCACTTTTTAGCCAAGCGGTCCAAAGCACGTCAGGTCATGTGTGTATATATATCCTCTTGAAAATTCCATACGAATTACCAACATTTTATATATATATATATATATATATATATATATATATATATATATATATATATATATATATATATATATATATATTGATAATATTAGTGGTAAATATACACATACATATGCAATCATATATCTAAAATATATAAAATATATATACATACATACACATACATATATATTTGTATAAAAAATAAATCCAAGAGGATTGAATCCAGGTAGAACTCAATGTCCGGGACAGAGTAAGGATATAATAAAAAGGCTTAAACACTAATATTCCATGGCCATAATTTATTCCATTGGAATCGTAAATACGATCCAATTCATCAGACCTACCGTTAGAAATGCTTAAAGTTATCTTACCGGAATTCATCGAGGTCTTTATAACACCACTGGACTCTGCTTTGAACAATAAGAATGTATTTAGCTCTAAGTTAAAATGATGATCCTTCTTGCTGTTGTAACCTCCTGATCCAGTTTTCCTCTCTCCTGTTCCCTCTTTTTAAACTTATTGACCATTCTCCTGATGGTTCTTGAATGGATTTGAAGATAGGAGCCAGAATATGACTGTTGATACTATGACTGAGGGCCTGAATGATCCTTTTCCTCACACCATTGCTCAGTTGGGGAGACAGTGGGCTGACACAAAACGATTTTAACCTGTTCTCTTTCTAGCTGAATAACTTCTTTGGGGTTTTTCAGTGATTCTTATTGGACAAGATATTGACCGTCCTTTCTGAAAAGCTGGAAAAAAAAGAAAAATTTTGTGGGATGGCCAATTATCGCATGGTGTTACACGATTTGAAACAATTTTGCTGTTACATATATATATATATATATATATATATATATATATATATATATATATATATATATATATTTGAGAAATATGGACGGTTCCTTTTATCGAAAAAAAAAATGCAACCTCGCTCCTCCTGTTATGCCCTTTCTTAATAAGAGTTGGTCCAGACCAAGAATGAAGTATTGCTGCCATATCCGAGCTGGAGCTACCCAGTCTTCCCGTTCCTTTCTGAAGGTGCAAGATCAGTGGATTACAGGGTCTGTAAAAGGCCCTCCCAGCTAAGCTGTACCTGTTTCTGTTGGGTCTGCAAAGGGATGCGAGATCTGGTTAGTTTAGTTGGGTTTTTTTTTTTTTGCTTAACGGTTTATTAATATCTATCAACCTTAAAAAGTGTTTTTACTGATGATCCAAAGTTACATATCGCTAAATGTGCTGATAGAAATAAAGTTAAGAAACAAGAAAAAATAAATAAATACTTACAAAAATAAACATTTCAGTAGTATTCAACGGTTTAATTTGGTTTTCAATTTTCATTAAATGTGTAAATATATGAGATAGATGGATACGTAAGTAGGTAGATAGACAGACAGACTGTATATATATATATATATATATATATATAGATAGATAGATAGATAGATAGATAGATAGATAGATAAACAGACAGACAGATAGATAGGTAAGGTAGATAGATAGATAGATAGATAGATAAAATAAAAATACAGCCATCCAGCAAGCCAGACAGACAATTTGATAGATAAGCAGATAGACAGACATACAGATAGACAGACATACAGATAGACAAAAGAGCTAAAAGCTAAATAGATAAAGAGACATTCATACATACAGATAGATAGACAGTTAGACAGACAGACAGATAGACAGACAGATAGGTAGATAGATAGATTGATAGACAGGCAGATCGTTAATTAGAGAGAGAAAGAGAGATAGATAGGCAGACAGATAGACAGCTAGGTAGATAGATAATTAGAGAGAGAGAAAGAAAGAAAGAAAGAAAGAAAGAAAGAAAGAAAAATAGACATGCATACAGACAGATAGAAATTTCTAGGATACATAAGGAAATTGTGGAGAGCCATAATCGCCTACGCCTTGACCGGACACGACGCATAGAAGATAAAATATATATATATATATATATATATATATATATATAAGGCAAAATTGTAAAATGGATATAAATCATTAACAGAATGAAGAAATTTTGAAAAAAACAAAACAAAAATCCTTAAATGTAGTTAAAATGAAATTGAAATGTCGACGTCTGACGTTTTCGAAAAGGTTTATTAAACCGAAACGTCAGACGTCGAATAAACATTGGATTTTCATTTTAACTCATTTCTCTTTTGTTTGTTTTTTCAAAATTCCAAAATATATATATATATATATATATATATATATATATATATATATATATATATGTGTGTGTGTGTGTGTGTGTGTGTACATATGTAAAACTTTGTTTATTCAAACAAAAATACACGCCCACTATCTTAAATCGTGATCTTCTAGATCATTTTTTCATTAATGTGTGTGTCCCCCAGGGTTATATCATTGGGCCTAATTTGTTCTTAATTGTCATCAACGACCTTCCTGATGTCATCAGTTCTCATCTTGTTATGTATACTGATGGCATAACTATATACTCCTACCTTAGTGGTAAGTTTGATTGGTTCAATAGGGTCAAATTGTCAGCTGATCCCCAAAATAACCTACAATCTCTCTTTAACCGAATGGCTTGTTAATCTTAACACATCCAGAACGAAACTGCTCTCTTTTAGTCGTCTTAGAGAAATACTTTGCCTTTTATCAGCATGGCTGATGCTAACTGCCAGTAGAGTGACCCATTGCGCCTTCTCGGAAGAACGTATTCCTCTGACAGGAATTGGAAAGATTAGATTGAATCAGTTACTATGTCTGCTGATAAAAATGTTTGTTCACTCTTTAGAGCTAGAGAATTATTTTCTCCAGAATACCATTCATCCATGCATTGAATATTGCTATAACACCTGATATCGTGCTTCTGCTATGTATTATCCCGTCTAAAGTCACTATCTCACAGACGTGATGTGGCTTCCCTCTGTCTTTTCTCCACGGACATTCACGGCAACTGCTCCGACGAGCTACTTTCACTCGTTCCCAAACTGCATGAATTTAAGCGTGCTATTAGGTTGGCATCTCGGTCCCACCCTTTCACTGTAGAAACGATTAAATATAGCCATGTCTTCTACTCCAACAGCTTCTTCTCTCACCTCCCGTCAGTGGAACTCCCTTGCTTCCCTGATAGCTTTAATATTTAAATATTCAAATGTAATGTCAATCGACATCTTCTGATGCTGTTGTATGGCGTACGAAAGTTTTTCTTCCTCCGTATGAGTTCGAATCCTCGTCGTAAAGTTTTGTAGAGTGGTTTCACAGTGGAGGCTTGTATTGGTACTAAGTCGGTCCTAAAATAGGTTCGACGTACAAAACGTTAGGAACTTGATATAATAGGTAAGGACACAGAGATATCTAGTGGTGGTCGCTGATACTTTAGTATCCGACTAACGGTCGTCCGACATCGACTGACTGACCCACTCCCTGAGCGACCCCTAATACTCCTCCTTATTATAGGTGGGAGAGTCTATAAACTATAGAATAGGTGTGTTCCACTATAACAGATGCCTTGACCTTGATCTCTGTCATTCTCTTTATCCTTTTCTCAAACACTCCTATTTACTCTTACACTCAGTCTCTGTAACCCTTTGCGTGCTAGTGGCACTCCGGCCTTGCTTGGGGTGATTTGCTTAAAAAAAAAAGTATTAGAGATTTTTGATGTTATCCAAAGAAGAATCTGCAATGTTATAGGTCCTGACTTGGCATCACGGCATCAGTCATTTCCCATGGCCTTAATGTAGCTTCCCTGTGCCTTTTCTATAAATGGTAATTGTTCTGATGAACTTTCCATTTTCGTAACTTGACTTTACAAATTTAAGCGCAGCACTAGGTTGGTAACTAGGTTTAATCGTTTAACAGTAGAAATGGCTACATGTAACCGTAAATTCTATGCTAACAGTTTCTTCTATCGCACTTCTCGCTTGTGGAACTCTCTTTCAGTTTCTTGCTTCCCTGTCAACTTTGATCTTCAAAAAATTAAATGCAATATCAATCGTTACCTACTGTCTTCTTAATTCAGGTTCTTTTATTGCTCCCCTTAATAATATTTTTCTTTTCCTCATATTCTTTCACATTCAGTAACCTTAGTGGCCTTATTGCCTTGCTTGGGGTGAAATGATTAAAAAATGAAATAAGGAACTTACATCTTTTATTTTTTTTTTTTAATGAATAGAACGATTCTAAATTTGCATCATTAGTATCATCAATGTTGCTTTATTAGAGTTTTAATAACTAATATTTTATAGCAAGGATAAGGGGAAAATATTCACCGTAAAGTGGGGGATAGAAAAATATAACAAAAAAAAAAAAAATTGTTAACATCATACCGTTCTTCAGAGCTCAATTGAAGACAAATCTTATATGTATGTGAGCAGTAACTAAAAAGTGGGAAGAAAAAATGTCTATCAGAGAATCAGCTGAAGAAACCAAAAACAAGTTGCATTTAGAGTCAGCAGCCATCCCTTCTGTTGTTTTAGGTAATCAATTTATTGTCGTCGATGAGGTCAACTTGAAGTGTAGAAAGTATATTCGACAAATAACCATTTCCTCTGACGTGGCTGAAATAAGCACGGAAGACATTTAAAGAAGCTGATTGACGTCACGGTGTCATCCAAAAACCTCTCCTCGAAAAGTCTGTTTTGTTTTCTCTTATACTATAAATATTTATTTACCTTCTTATAAATATTTACTTAACTTCTTCTTTTGTGTACCGTGTCCATTCAGGATGTAGGCGATTATGGCCCACCACATCTTCCTGTTCCTAGTAGCTCTTAATAAGTTTTGTCTTTTCGTTATTTCTCCCAAACCCTGTTCTACCACCCATTTGCTCAAGTTCATTAAGTACGCTGCGCGCTGCTTTCCTCTGTCTCTCTTTCCCTCAATCTGCCCTGTGAGTATCAGGTTTTCTAAGCCCTCCTTCCTCATTACGTGTTCCAGAAATTTCAACTGCCCCTTCCTTATGTTAAGTATAAGTCTGCTTTTTGTTTCCATTTTCTCCAAAACCTAGTTGTTGCTCACATAATCGACCCATGATATCCTCAGCATCTTTCTGTAGAACCAGGTTGCTATCCCTTCAAGTATCTTCCTCATCTTTGAGGAGATTGTCCGGTATTCACTGCCATACTGGAGGGCAGATATCACGTAACAGTTCAGTACTGTTTTCTTTGTTTCCAATAAATTTTTTCTGTTTCTTAATACTCTGCTTAGCTTTTGGAATGCATCTTTAGCCATGCCAATAGTTCTTCTGATCTCAGTGTCACACTTTCTGTCCTTTGTTAGGACACTACCTAGATATTTAAATTTTTGTACCTGCCTGATTGTAGCATTCTGACCCTCAATTTGTATTTTGGATTCATTTTTTTTGATGACCATGCATTATGTCTTCTTGTAGTGTATGCTTCTTTCTTTTTACTTTTCTTCGCTACTTTTAGGAAATTTTGTAGTTTCTTTTCCGTGTTTGCTATCAGTACCGTGCCATCTTATATTGTTAAGATTGTGATTGCCAATGATAAATCCTGGTAGGATTTCTAGTTCTCTCAGAACTACTTCGCTGTATAGGCCGGTTTGAAGACACATCCTTGCTTTACACCCCTTTCTATTTTTCTATATCTTCTGAACTCATTTTCTATCGGTATGTAAGCAGTTTGCTGTCAGTAGATATTCTTGATTATTCTTATGACTTTCGCGAATATGTTGTGGTTGATGAGCAGCTCTAACAGATTTTTATGGCGTACTTTGTCGAACGCCTTTGAGTAGTCTATAAAACTCAGTTACACGTCCTTCTGCGTTTGTATTGCTCTTTCTGATAACACTCTGAGCATGAATATCGCGTTCCTTGTTCTGGTGTCTTTGACGAACCCGCACTGTTCTTGTCTTGTCTCGGGCCTGAATGAGACTTGTAGGTCTATAGACGCTCTCATCGTAGATGATCGTGAAAGAGGAGGGAAATTAATGAACTTTTTACCTGAATAGTCACGTTGATGACTGTACTTATGATGTTAAAACACTGAATGAAAAATATTCACTCGAAATTCAAGAACCAACCAATTTCCTTCGAGTGATAAAGATAATAAAGTAATTCTTACCGAATAATATACAGCAAATCATTTAGGTGTTGTATAATTGGAATACATACATGCTCTATCAGTATTTCCGTGAAAAGTGCTCAGACGAATTACATTCCTTAGTTCAACCAATTCTAACCTTTGCGTCTAAGAGCCACCATACTGCGCACATTGTAGCGAACCATCCTCAATCTCTTCGTATTCCATTAGTGAGATGTAAGCTCCACTCGAGCTGCTTCTTACCTCAAACCGCTGCTCTATGGAATCGTCTCCTAAGAGAGTGTTTTCCCGATTACTACCATCTTGGCCTTTTCGACTAGGATTACCCGTTATCTTCCCCACATATCCGAATAAACTGTGACTCTTACTCTGTAACCATTTAAAACGAATGACTCTCGGGCCTTGTTCAGAGTGAACAACACTGTAAAAATAATACAAACACAATCAAAACCTCATTTTGTAACACTAATCCACAGTTGTTCAACAGCCAGGATATGTTTTGGGAATGATAGTGGAGTTGTTTCTCGTCGCCTTCTCCACGGTGATTTTATTGAGACACAATATTTAATTAGTCGGCCGTTGAATCATAAGAGTTCCTCCGGTTTTTGATAGGTCTTGTTTATCGCCTAACTGTGTTGCTAGCCATATTTCTCGCATCTTACAGAGTGCGGCGGGAGGGACGGTTTAGTCGCCGAAGATCGACAGAAAAAAGACATAAAATGAATTAAAAACGGGAACACAAAAGAAAGACCGGGAAGTTTTTAAACAGAGAATAGAAAATGTGACATCGAAATCTGAAGGTGCATTGAGATAATGAAAAATGCCTTCTGAAAGTTAAGCAAAGTATTAAGAAAGAAGATTTCATTAGAAAGAAGGATAACTGTACTCAGTTATTATATATGATATCAATTCTCGTATGTGGAAGAGAATGCTTCACAGATAAAGTGAAGACTTGAGACAAGAGAGGTATGATTCTTCAGATAGGTACTGAGAATACTGTAAACAGAACAGGTCAGAAGTTTTTAAGAAAAGTATTATAGGAAATGAAAAGGAAAAAGAAACTTGTGCTTAATATCGGAAAGAGACAGTTGAAATTTCTGAGGCACATAATGAGGAAAGAGGGCTTGGAGAATGTTACACACTTAGGACATAGTGAAGGCATGCGGGATGGATAGAAACAGCGGATAACATACCAAATTTGTGTAAATGGATGCCAAAACAAGGAGACAACCGTTGATCAAAACTACCCAGGATAAGAATATGTGGAGAGTAGTGATTACCCACGTCCTGGAAGTTCACATATAAAAGAAAAAGAATATACAGTTAGTGTCTACTCCTTTTTTTCTTTCTTTTAAAAAATAAATAAAATATTGAAATACGCATGCGCGGTGATGAAATAAGAGAACAGATGTTTTCCTTTCTTAAATAGCATTATCATAAGCGATTTTCGATGTCTTGCGTATAAAATTTACTAGAATGATAAGATATGTCTGATTCATTGATTTTTATTTTTATAGCATTATAAATCAGATAACATTTTTTAGATAAGGACACACGTTGTTTACACTGCATGGTTTTCATAAGCTGTCATCCATGTTTTAAGCATATCAAGTTAGAATCACTTTTAGCAGATACAGAAAGGAAACTACAAGAACTCTTATAGAAAGTAGTGAAAGAAATCAAGAAGAACTAAATCTCAGCTGCAAGAAGACAATTTATGGTTGTTCGCAAAAGGAAAAGCCTAACATGCAAATAACAAAATCAAACAAGTATAAAAATCTAAATATCTGTGAAATGTCTTAAGAGAGAAAGGAGAGAGAGTGAATACTGAAACATAAAGGCGCATTGGGATAGCGAAAGTTGCCTTTCAAAAGCTAAGCAAAGTATTAAGAAACCGGAAAATTTCGTTACAAAATAAATAAAAAAAGTACTGGACTTTTACGTAATATAAGTCTTCCTATCCGGCAATGAATGATGAACAATCAACTCACAAATGAAGACATGACTTGAGGCAACAGAAATGTTGTTCTACAGAATGATGCTGAAAATATCGTGTGATCAACGATAAAGTTCTAGAAAAAATACAAACAAAATGAAAACTTATACTTAACACAAAGAAGAGACAGTTGAAATTTACATGTCAACATAATGAAAAAAGAGGGCTTGGAAAACTTGATGCTCACAGGACAGATTGAAGGTAAGAGAGTCAGAGGTAAGTAACACACAACTTGCCTGGTGAGCTTGAGCGAATGGAGAACGAGGAAGGGTTTGGGGGAAAATAGCGAAAAAACAAAATTTGTTAAGAGCTACAAAGGGCAGAGAAGAAGAAGAAGAAGAAGAAGAAGAAGAAGAAGAAGGAGGAAACAGAAGAAGAAGAAGGAGGAGGAGGAGGAAGAAGAAGAAGAAGAAGAAGAGAAGAAGAAGAAGAAGAGAATAATAATAATAATAACTGAAATTTGGTTTATGTTACAACAGCTAAATATTAAATTAAGTAAAACTTGGAAAATATATACTTACGATTAAGTATATGATGGACGCGTGGCCGATTAATTAAAATGTTCCCATTCTGAATATAAGACCCTGGTTCGATTTGTTACTCGAGATGTCTTCTTGATGTTATTGAACAGAGGAAAGTACCTGAAAAGCATACCACTGGTTGACCCAAGCCTTGTAGAAGTCGATAGTTGTGGTTAAGCCAAGCATTGTGGTAGTCGATGGTTGTGGTTAAGCCAAGCATTGTGGTAGTCGATGGTTGTGGTTAAGCCAAGCATTGTGGTAGTCGATGGTTGTGGTTAAGCCAAGCATTGTGGTAGTCGATAGTTGTGGTTAAGCCAAGCATTGTGGTAGTCGATGGTTGTGGTTAAGCCAAGCATTGTGGTAGTCGATGGTTGTGGTTGACCCAAACCTTGAGGTAGTCGATGGTTGTGTGAGCACAGAGTCACATATCATCTTGACCCAGTGTTTGAGCGTACTGACATTGTTCAAGAAATTGATCACACCAGATTATGCGCTCTTTCCCAGAAACAGTAACTAAGCTCCGCTCAACATAGTTTCAGTATCTGTGCTCTGTGGATTGAGCAGGCATTTGTAATAAGATCTGGCTAGCCGTCATGGGATACGGGTATGCACAAAAACGATTAGTAGCCAGTCATATAAAAATATGACGTCTTTTCTTTTACGTGATATCAGCCAGTAAATTCACGTAAATGCCACAACTGAATGATGACAGATAATACGTCTGAAAAAACATTGTTGAATACTTACATTTTCCTTCTAGAGAGACGGTGGAGTAATAGATAGCGGCTCGGATTGAGGAATCGGAGAGCCGCGTTCGAATTCCATTCGAATCCATTGCATTCACTTACGTGCTGATACCCCTGGGAAAGGTATGAATCCTCTTCTTCTGCCTCCTAGCTATGGGTAAATAGCAGGATTGACCGGGTTCTGTAGCCTTGGATGACAACTAGTCTACTGCAGAAAGAAATGGCAAACTATTACGGGGGAAAAAAATCTGCCTCGTCAGTCATGTATCGAAAGATACATGATCGTCTAAGCGTGTATCACACATAACTGAGTAAAAATTAAGCGAGCTAAATGGGGTATGATACAAACATTTTGAGCACACCGTTTGTCATATTCGTCCTAAAATCGTTCTTCTGCAACTGAGGTTAAATGTCATGTCTTTTTCTCAACAACGAGCTTAAAATTACTTTAGTTATGCTTTGAGATGAACTTCGAGAGCTAATTTAGTAACAACGAATCAAATGAAATTAATAATGTCCATCATAAAAATAACTTTTTAATCGAATAAAAAATTAACGTTACTGTTAAATAGATGCAAAATGTCGCATTCGGATTCCCTATTATTTCAAGTCGATGGCATATGAAATAATTTTAAACATAAGCATTACTGCCTACACAATAACCGTTAGGATAATACAATACAGTTTGCTACCCATAATGCACCTTTGACCAGCATATATAAATAGTCGAATAAAAACACAACATCCATAGCCTGAAGTTTACGTTCAAGCATGAAACAGACTTCCACAGCTTGTTTTTGATCTCAATATCTACTTTTAAACATAATTTCCTGCCCAGTTGCATGTTTACAAAATC